GTTTTTGTTATTAATAATTATGTATCTACCTATCTTTGCTGGATTATTTATTTGATCAATAAAGTTTAAAGCTACTGTTGAATTTTCTTCTTTTTTCAAGAACAAACACTCGCCTAAAAAATTTTGTGTGCACCTCGGCCGAATGATCTTTTTTGGCCTCACCTGAAATTTGCTTGGCCTCGGCTGCGCCTCGGCCGCAGATTTCTGATTCGGCCAAAAAAGATCAACTTTACGGCCTTGATACACAAATAACTATTTCAGGCGACTGTCACAAAAATATTAGTTTTACGGATTCAATATCATCCCTAAAGTATATCTTTTTTGGCCGCATTTACTTTACGGCCGCATTTACTTCACGGCCGCATTTCCTTTATTACTTTGCGGCCGCTTTTACTTTACGGCCGCTACTTTGGTGAAAATAAACAAACAATCGAAAACGCGGTACCGTAACCATCAACACAACCAATAAACAATAAGTTAGCAACCACAATGAAACCAAGTTTTTAATTTTATCTCTATCCAAATGTCCACATAAAATGCTAAAGAAAACGGCATAAGATTAAAAAGTGTTTTCTTGCATTTTTTTCGGAAAATGCCAAAATTAAAAATCCTCAATGTTATGGTCTACAGGTCCACCTATGTATAGGAACTCTATGTTTAAATTTAAAATTACATAGACGAAAATAACATATCAGCAAGTTTTCCAAATTAATTTCTTTTTTAAAAAAGCACAATGTAGGATACCATGCGAAAAAGTCGGCAGTTTCCTATAGTCACACTTGCTTTATCGTAGTTTTTGTTACTAATAATTATGTATCTACCTATCTTTGCTGGATTATTTATTCGATCAATAAAAGTTTAGAGCTACGTTGAATTTTCGTCTTTTTTCAAGAACAAACACTCGCCTAAAAAATTTTGTGTGCACCTCGGCCGAATGATCTTTTTTGGCCTCACCTGAAATTTGCTTGGCCTCGGCTGCGCCTCGGCCGCAGATTTCTGATTCAGCCAAAAAAGATCAACTTTACGGCCTTGGTACACAATTGGAGTATACTACTCGCAATAATGGCTATTATTCCCTCGGAATGTTACTCCATCGCCGCTAACGCGGCTCAGTTCGTAAATATTCCTCGGGAATAATAGCTATCATTATTGACTCGTGGTATAATCTACTATTAAAAAATCCTTATTTTCCCAGAACAAACCGCATCTTGTTATCTTTTCCCGTTTTCGAGATATTTACCTGCAAAATGTGTCAGTTTATCTAAGGACACCCCGTATTTGAAATCAGAAAATTCAACTCTTCTCAACTATGAAGTCATATATAGGGTGTTCCATAAAAAAATTGACATTTCTAAAAAAAAACAAAATAGTTTTTGACATCGGATTCGAAAATTTCAGGTAAAAGATAAAACCCCAAAACTTTTGTATTTACAGTTTTTTGATATCTCTTCACATAACCCCTGTAGTGGGGGGTCATCCACCGGCGTATACAAGGGGGGGTAATGGGGGTAATTACCCCCCCCAAGATCGTTACGATGGACGAGAAAAAATGTACCCTACACCTTACAAATAAATCTATTTTTTATATTTTTACTTTTCAGCAACTGGCCCTAACTTGTTTTCTAGTTTGCACAGTGTCCGCACTGCCCGCATGCCATTTATAGCGAATTCTATTCAAAGGGATAGTGCACACTGAGTGTATTCATATCTTTCTCTACTAGCTTGCATAAGAAAGAGATAAATAATTTTTTTGTATTAATCCTACCAATAGAATTCGCTATGCCTATAATTGAAAAGTTTTAGGCGATTCTCATAGCGAATTCCATTGGTAAAATCAGTGCGAAAGAGTGTATTTTTATCTCTTTCTTATATAAGCTGGTAGAATAAGATACGAATACACTCGGTGCGCACTAACCTTTATTCCAATGGAATGCGCTATCAGAGTTCGGTTTCGTTATTTGTTGGTAGTACAGAATATATTTACCTAACAAGTGCGAAAAATGAATTTTTCCGCACGAGTCTGTCGTTCACCCAAAGACGCGTAGCGGAATTCGGTGAAGCAGCCAAGTTCGGAAGACAGATTTTCCGCTTGTGTTACGTACAATAGTTTTTTTACAGACGTGCGGAAATAAGTAGGTACATATACCCAAGGATGATACACACTACTACTACTACAAGATGGCTTATCCTCATAAGGCCTGTTTGTAAAAAATCCCCCTCTACCCCCCTTAGCCAAACAACCAGTTGTGACGTAAGCAGCATGGCGTTTCTCGCCTTGACGTAGGCTGTTTAAACAGCTGAAAACTTAGTTATGACGTCGACAATGGTTGAAAACAGTTGAAAACCAATATGGCGGCGATTACCAAAAACGAGAAAGAGTTGTTTCAGAATATTAATTAATGTAGTGAAACCAAGTTTTGTCTAAAGGAAAAGCCCGCGGAATCATAACCTGTGGTACAAACACCCTACATGAAGACGAGAAACGACACGCTGTCTATGTCATCACTGATATTTTGGCATGGCAGCGGCGGCTTCAGATTGAACTACACAGGCCTTATGAGGATAGACTATCCTATAGTAGTAGTGTGTAGTATCCTTGCAGGAAACTGAGGTCCAAAAGTAACCTCTTTTCCAGGAACCAGTAATTAGTAATTCGATTACTTTCGGAACGCTTTTCTGTAGTTGCCACATTTTTACTTTTCGTTGAGGAATTATGATCAGGAGCATTAACCCTCAGATTTGACTGGATTTAACGATTTAACCCATTTCCCAAAATCACAAAAAAAAATACCTACTTGCTTCTTGATGTTACAGATTGGGTACCAAGATCGTGTGTCAAAATCGTGTAATTGTGAAAAATGAAAGCGTGTAAAAACGTGTAATTTTACCAGCATATCGTGCAATTTCACAAATTCAGATTGACAACACTGCCTTGCATATACTACATAATTTGTAGTCATTTATTGATTTTTTTTTTGACAGCCATGTGGAAAAGATTTAGATTTTTCCACACCGATATCCGTGCGGAAAAAAATTCGCCGCACCGTGCGAGAAAATCGATTTTTCGCACTCTTTAATTGTCCTCGTAGAAAAAATTTTTTTTGAAGGCTCAAAGTAAACGTTTTTGGGCGTGGCACCCGGGAAAAAATGGGCTGATTACCCCCCCCCCCAGACGCATGGGCTGGATACGCCGGTGGGGTCATCTATACCTTTACAACTTCAAATTGAGACTTATCACAATCAAATTGAGACTAACAAAATCAAATTGAAACTTAAAATAATCAAATTGAGAAGAATCAATTTCAAATTGATACAACATTCGTTTCCATGTAATTGAACGTTGTACCAATTTGAAATTGATTCTTCTCAATTTGATTTTGTTTAATCTCAATTTGAAAATGTTTGTTCTCAATTTAATTGTGATAAGTCTCAATTTGAAGTTGTAAAGGTATAGATCATTAGATGACATCTAGCTGAGCCTTACGAATAATAGGTCTGTTGGCACAGCAATCACAAACTAGTCAGAGCGAATTTCATTGGCTGAAAACAATCAGAAACAGTCAGAAAACTAGTTTCAACTAATGAAATTTACTCTGACTGGTTTGTGATTTCTGTGCGAACAGACCTAATAGCTTCTGCTGCTGATTCTTTGAGAACACACAGGTTAGAAACAGTAGACATTCCCGGCAAAAAACCATGCTGTTCTGAGGAGAAGTTGTCTTTAAGGTTTAAAGTCAGGCCTATAGTTTATTACAGCAACGCGAGATGTCAACGCTGCCGCCCCTACAGTGTGCCCTAACTAACTTGATAGTCAAAAAAAAAATAGAAATCTTCATTTGGTTAAATTGTGTGATGGAACGTTTTTTCTTTTTCTTGCGGAAATTCGAAGTATTATTCTGTTTTACATAAACAGGGTTGTTATTTGGACCATCGCAAATAATTTCGAACGTTCATCCGTCGGATTTTTGAAAAAAATATATGTCGCGTAGAATTGCAATAGTAGTTCGTAATAAAAATAATGGGAAACTTCATCTATTCGTTTTGAAATAAATGCTAAAAAAACACTTTTTTTCAGTGTTTGCGATATAACTCAAAAATGGCGAAAGAGAAGTAGAATATTATTATAAAGCAATCTCTCAAATACATATCTTGGCAACTGAGCTTGGAACACTTACGGGCCTTTAGATCTCAACACCGCTAAAATTGCCAGATTTATACATGGGAGTAATAATCGCATGCTTCAAGCTATCAGGTTTCAATATAGATCAGAGCATATAGCAATGAATGAAGAGCAATGTTTCATGGAAACTTTTTCAAAACTTCTGCAGTCTGCATCAAAAGTTCAAGAAACCTCTAAGGAAAAAATATTTCAAAGGAACCTTTCTGGGAAGATTCTGATCTTGAGGTTTTTACATTAAAAAATTAGAAAACTTTTTCAACATAAAAAGTTTCACAGGATCTAATTTATTAAAAAAAAAACAAAATTATTGCTTTATACAATGGGAACCAAAAATTTACAACTCACTAAATAAAACATTATTATGAAGGATGAAGTACTTTTAAACATATAAATTCATCAAGTATAACTAATTGCATTACAAAATAAATTGTCAGAATGAGTCCAATGAGGAGGAAAAAATCGGGTAGATTTTGCAACTGATCTAAAAACCGTATTCAAGGATTTGCATTCAGATTCAAATGCGTTAATTATAATGTGCTTCTACAATTATTCTTCACCTTAATCACCTTTCGACAACAATTTGTTAGCTGCTTGAAAAATCCTTATTGAATTTAAAAAATACAACTGATGGATCCCAATAATACTTTTACTCTACAGAGTGAAAATGCAAAAACGGCCGACTTGGCATTTCCAGATTAATGAAAGAACTCAAAATTCCAATTTGGAAAGTCATTTTATTTAGGATTATGTATAGGCGTATTTTAAAATGTGTCCTAACGAATTGTTAATCTATTATTTTAATTGTATTCTTTTTTTTTAGGTTTAATTTCGGATTCTTTCCACATGTTCTTTGACTGCACCGGATTAATAGCAGGTCTGGCAGCATCAGTGATCACCAAATGGAAAGCGAACGATAAATATTCCTATGGATATGTCAGAGCAGAGATATTGGCAGGATTTGTTAATGGCCTATTTTTGTTGTTTATTTCGTTCTTTTTGATGTCTGAAGCTGTGGAAAGGGCAATAGAACCTCCAGAAGTAAGTAAATAGTTCAAACACTTGTACCAATACAACAGCTGGATCCATGGAGATTAGAATTTAAATTATAGTAACATGGTTGTGGTTCTTTTTGGAACATTCTTTCTATCCATATAGCTCTTTCCAAATTTTGTATTAAACAGATCATATGAAACTTATGAAAGACATCCTGTTTTCCAAAGATTTGATTCATTACACTGAAACTAGGGAAAATTAGTTTTGGTAGCGAATGAATAAACATGGCAACAATCCAGGTGGCATTTGGTTGGAGGCTCTCAATAATTCGCTAGACTATTTTCTATCCTTAAGTTGACCAATTCTTTGTCCTAGTTCCTTATTCTCCATCTAAATAAAAATTCTAATTATTGAATCTACAAAATTCTTAATAATTTTTCTTACAGGTGAAACACGAGAGACTCTTTGTAGTATCTGTACTAGGACTTTTAGTGAATTTAGTGGGCATTTATGCATTCCAACATGGCCATGGACATTCGCATGGCGGTGGTAGCTCCCATGGTCATTCTCATGGAGGCAGCGCGCACGGACATGCCCATAACAACCACGGGCACGATTTCAATATTGATGTAGATACTGGTAGTGCTAGTTCGCACATTATGAAAGGGGTGTTTTTGCATATTTTGGCTGACACTTTAGGTGAGTTATAGCTTTAATTAAAAATTATTTAGAAATTGGAGAGTTGTTGGACGAGCTTTTTGTTAGCCTGATTTTGAACTACTTAGACACATGCGCTGTTTAAAAGATACATTATTTTCAGTTGTTACTTTCTTGACTCTCCTTTTTCACGTGCATTATATTTTGCAGTAGTAATATTTGTGTATTTGAAATTATTTAGATCCATGAACTTCTCAACATTCGCTTATCTTTTGATTGCGTTCAGTCCACAATCTCTAGTAAAGTTAAAAATCATTCTGGAGTTTTGAATTGAATATCTCCATCCAAAGAAACCACTTCATCTTTACAAGTGCTGTTTTCATGCAGTTTACATACAGACAAACTATTATTACTTGAGTCAACTCAAATTATTTGCAACTAGAAAAATCTTGATTGGGTTTTTTTCTGAAAAGTCTCCAACATGTATCCCGCAAGTGAATAAGTTTTATGTTGTCAGAAAGATTTATCTAAACCTTCCAAGCTCTTTTTATGCAAGTTGAAATACATATTTATGAGGACGATCCCTCAAATCAATATTAAATTACCCTTTGTTAGTTATCTGGATTTTTGAACAGCTACCCCCCTATAAAAACTGAAATGATAATTCATTCTATCCCTGTTTATTAGGAAATTCTTTATCTATTGTAACCTTATGGGCTAGATGTCAAAGTAATAAAGCTACATATTTTCATTACCTATAACAGTTAATTCTTTATCATTATCATTTGTTGCAATATAAATAAATAATCATTTTCAGGTAGCGTAGGTGTAATAATTTCCGCAGTCCTAATGCAAATGTTTGGCTGGATGATAGCTGACCCAATATGCTCAATGTTCATAGCAATTCTAATAGCCCTCAGTGTTCTAGCACTTATAAAGGACTCGGTTGCTGTTTTAATGCAACGACAACCATATTCACTAGACAACATACTACCACAGTGTTACCAAAAAGTCATTAGTTTAGCCGGAGTGTATTCAGTACAAGAACCGCATTTTTGGACGCTTTGCAGTGACGTTTATGTGGGTGCCATCAAACTTGAAGTATCGAAAAACGTCGATCCTAAATACGTGGTGCAACACACGCAGATGATTTTCGCTTCAGTCGGAGTTAAACAACTTTTTGTACAGTTGGATTATACGCCCATGTGATTGTAATATTTTTTTTTAGGAGAAGATTAAATTGACTTTTTTGTAAATTGCTTAGAGTTGAGATGATTTTAACAAGACCTTTTTACTTAGCCAAGAATTCACAATGCCTCCAAGGCTTTTTCATTTTAAAATATACAGGGTGTCCGTTTTAAGTGATACCACTAGCTATCTTCCAAACGGTAAGAGGGACGAGGTCGGTTCAATTAGACAAAAGTGGCAGATTTTAGTAGGTATCCATTGGAGGTAATTTCATAGGGTTGCCAAATTTGTGTTCATTTCCGAGATATAAGGGAAAATGTAAAAAAAGCCTTAAACTTCAATGAATACATATTTCAAAATCTATCAACTTTAGAAAAAAGTGTTCAATACAAAAGTTTCAAGATTTCTTCTTCTCTACAAAATGGCGTAATTGTTCTCTTCACACAGGTTTTAGTTGTGATTACATTTTCCCTTATATCTCGGAAACGAACAAAAATTTGGCAACCCTGTAAACTTACCTTCAATGGACCCTAACATCTGCCACTTTTGTCTGATTTAACAGACATATCTCTTACTGTTTCAGAGATAGCAAAAGTGGTATCACTCGAAGGGACACCCTGTATATATTTTTTAAGACATTTCTTTTTCTGAAGGTAGTGATTTCAATTTCAAGGGGCCCTAGCAGGAAAATCATTGGCTGCAATATCGTTATGTATATAAATGAAAATTCAGTCCAGTGTTTTGTCTTCAAAAATTCCTCCTTTCCAGAAGCGATTGATTAAAAAAATACATGTGAAATAGATCGCCCCATCATCGCCACTATTTGAAAAAATAATTACATACCTAATAGTAGGAGAGCCGGCAATATTAACGGATATGTGATCGTTGCAATGGATAATTTTCTCATAAAACGATAGCTCATAGTTACCTTAAAACTAAATGGATGGGTTGCCTTGATTCTCATGGCCGCAACCCTTTGGTGGCTGGGCGTAAACTACCCTTCTTTTTTCAAAGGAACAATGTTATCGTTGCAATAGCTGAAAATTGGTAGATATATTCTTTATTATGTCTTTTCAAATAATATATAGGGTTGCCTCGATTTTGATATCCGGAAATAATGGCAACCCTCATTGAAAGTCGAGCGCGCGCGTTATTTTGCTTGCTGAAAACAAATTTTCGAAAGTGCCAGCTCTCAAAGTCACTTTCAAAGTTAAAAGAGGATTCTGTGAAGAGGATTTTGCATACGGCTGTAGGTCTTTAGACAAAAAAAGAAACATGAAATTGTGTTAATAAAGTGTTTGCCGCATATGATGAGATGCCCCTACATCTCAAGGTACTTCTTATTTGTTGCGCTTATGGTTTTGTTCTATTTATAAAATTATTAAAAGCATCTTTTTATAAAACAACTTCACGGCCATGAGAATCAAGGCAACCCATCCATTTGGTTTAAAGGTTACTATGAGCTATTGTTTTATGTAGAAATTATCCATGCAACAATCACATACCCGTTAATATTGCCAGCTCTTGGACTATAAACTTTGTTTCAATGGGGATTCATACTTCTGACAAAATTTTCCTTCCTTTTTTAACAAATAGAAATTGACTGAAACAAATCAATGATGTCAAAAACGTTCGTCGGTTCTCGGTTCTTAAGCCAGAAGTCATTCATTTTAATTTGTCAAAAAAATTGAATGTGTCATATAAATTAATCTACGACAACCCTTTTTTTCAAGTTATGACGTGTTCGATAACAAAAGTGTGAAACCCTCGAGAAATGAACCTTACCTACTTTATCTAAACACCTAATCCCATTTGGTTACTGAAAGAAAACTTGCTAACTTCCTAGGTTATAGGGCTGGAATTTATTGTAATACCATGTTTTCTGAATTATTTTAAAATGTTCACCAGGTATAAGATAAGAAAAGGGGTAACATTTTCATTTCTATACGCTTTCAAATGTTTCATAATAGCACACTATGGCTATTTAGCCACAGTTTCCAAATTTATAATGTAGCTTTAGATCAGAAATACAATTTAATAGGTATGAAGAGGCATTTTAAACAAGACCAAAACATATTTTATGCATGGTTTTTAATAAATTTTTGTTTAAATATAGTTTATATATTTTTTTTTTTGAAAAATAACTTTTTGTACACATTTTCTATAATAAATAATTATTGTTCTATGAGCCTTCCATTGTATTTATATTTGGCATTTATATATGACATATTTTTCAGATCTCCACAACAGCCAAATCATTTGAATAAAATTTCATTGGGAATATCCTTAATAATTATGCCTAATACAGTGGCAATTGAATTAATTGTTTTGTACATTTCTATGTTGAAAATAAGCCCTAGTTTCGTATATAATCATATATATCCGGAAAGGCTTCCACTCCAAGATATTGGGTGAAGGAAAAAACTTTTTTTTATCATAATTTTCAAACCACTCTAGATATTTTATTGAAATTTTGTACACTGCTTTTCAGCAGCAAAAGACATTTTTTGATGTGAAATATTTTTTAAAAAAATTACCAGTGACATCTGTACCAGATTTGTACGGAATATTTTTTAAGAAAAAAATGGTGCTCTACTGATTTTTCCTATAATGAAAGTTATGTTTGAAATCCCCTTTCAATTTGGAACAAATTTGATCTCTTCACTTTTTTCCGAACGATGCACCGTTGTAAAAAAATAAAAAACGATTTTGATGCATGGCGAAATCCCCAAAATTATGATGGACATAATTAATTATGTTTATAGGTATAGGAAACTAGGGCTTGTTTAACTTGTATAACTTGGACACAAAGAATTTCCCATGTAAATTTTTGTTTGCAGCCAATTTGTTCGAATACGTTAAAGTAGATTCATGAAAAGATTTTTAAAAAAAATCAAAAATTTTCAGAAAATTTTCAGGCACTGTGTTTCATACTAAAAATATATTTTTATTTTTTAAAATTTGTTTCTTATTTCCATACAATCTAATTAGGCCCATCCAGGAAATAAAGCGTTTATGAGTCGGTCCTTGAGGTTTCCTCAGACCTTAAGGAACCAGGAAGCCATTCACCGCTGTGACATCATACCATCTCTTGAGTCGAGACAGGCTAAAGGCCGTCACACACGGTTTTGCGTGATGCAATCATAAATTATAAATGATGTCAACTGATTTTGACTTGTTCCTGTCCCTGTGAAGTATTCAGTAGATTGTGGATTCATAATTATTATTCAACATGTAGATTGGTGAACCTCTGTAGACTAATGTGTGGTTTTGATGTGCGCAAATTATCATTGTCAGTACTTTTATTGTTTTTCCAAATTGGTATTAGATTAATAACTTTTCCTGATATTAGCCTAGGCACCAAATTAGAGTTGTTAACGACCTTTTGACAAAAAAACCCCATTGAAACGTAGTTTGCAGTTCGGTATTTCACGGCGAGTCGCTGAATATTTGATGGAGATGGTTGAGGCAAGCTATGGTTGAGGCCATCTCCAGCCGCTCGCCAGAAAGTATATTTTGTATTTTCATCCGTTTTGAGTGTTTTGGTGTAGTTTTATTACAATATAATATTGTCAAATAATCATCTGTTATCTGTAGTTCTTTTATTGTAAAGATAATATACAGGGTGATTCAAAAGTAAGCGGCATCCTTTCGGGGACGTATTCCTTGCCTAAAAATAAGACAAAAAGTTCCTATTAACATGGGTCCAGAAATGCTTCCTAAGGGAGCTACGCCTTTTCGAATAGGACACCTGAAAGACGTATTTTTCTCTATAACTTTGAAACCCTTTACAAATGGATTTTGAAAATTGGTGTATTTTATAAATATTTGATGGCAATTAAGATACTAAATTGGAAATTCAAAAATCTTATTCAGTGGCGTCACATACTGGAGAGAGTGAGGGTTAAAACATTCCTATTTTTTTACTCTTCAGGTTTTTGCGAAACACGCAAATCAGATTATATTCAAAGTCAATTTTCTCGTAAACGATACGCTGTATCGAATTGAACCAAGAGTACCTTTTCTGTGTAAAAAACTGTAAACTTTCCGAATTTTCAATCGGAATCGCAAAAACCTGACGGGTAAAAAAAATAGGGATGTTTTAACCCTCACCCTCCCCAGTATGTGACGCCACTGATTAAGATTTTTGAATTTCCAATTTAGTATCTTAATTGCCATCAAATGTTTATAAAATACACCAATTTTCAAAATCCATTTGTAAAGGGTTTCAAAGTTATAGAGAAAAATACGTCTTTCAGGTGTCCTATTCGAAAAGGCGTAGCTCCCTTAGGAAGCATTTCCGGACCCATGTTAATAGGAACTTTTTGTCTTATTTTTATGCAAGGAATACGCCCCCGAAAGGATGCCGCTTACTTTTGAATCACCCTGTACAGGGTGTCCCACTAAGGTCGGCCAGGTACCATATTATGGAGACCATAGACCTTACGTAACTTGAAAACGAATGCAGATATTGAATTGCGGTTTGCGCCAAAATGTAGATATTTTTTTGTTCTGCCATTTGGATTTTTCATGAAAATTAGAAAAAACTGGATCTTGAATAAACAGCGCTCTCTAGAAGACGCGGTGGGAACTATCGACCTCGAACGATGTGGTGTTCCTAATAACAATTAAATTCTCTTCCAAATAAACCCAAATTGAATGAGGGGTATTATGGAAGATACAGCAATTTATAAAAAAAAAAAATTCACCAGCTTCCCCCACCCTTATTACTGAAGATACGAAAAAAAGCCTAATAACCAAACTGGCGCAAAAATTAATGAACTTTTGATTTCTGTTGTTAAAACAGTATCTTAATATAGCGATTTCTTGAGAAAAGTTGAATTTTTAGCTATATCATCGTAATTGCGCCCCCTAGCGGTCATCCTAGAAACTTGAAAATAATTACCATCAATTTCTCTTGGCCGATTTAGTGAAGAAAAAAAAATCCTGAAGCCGTAAGGTCTATGGTTTCCATAATATCGTACCTGGCCGACCTTAGTGGGACACCTGGTATATTATGCACTCTGGGTTTTTCCAAATTCGTACCTACTATACTAATTACCTTTCATGGTATTAACATAGACACGAAACTAGGGTTGTTAACACCCTTTTGACGAAAACCCTCTTTAAAACGTAGCTTCGAGATTGTTATACCTATTTTAAAATAGAACCCTAGCCAGTTAGAAGGAATCATTTGTATTCTCGGTGTTCAGAGTGAACGATTATATTAAATTTTCATCAGTTGCATTTATTTTATCCAATTTGGGAATTCAAATTAAACAGTAGGTACCTATTATTCATCTAGGAGAAACAAATGCTGAACTTTTTCGGAAAAGAAAAAGATCATTCTCATTAAACGTACAGGTAGTTGCTGGGCCTGGTTTGGAGATATATAATATCGTTGCCGGATATCTAGGAAGCTATCACGATAGCTATATCTTCAATAAGCTTTGTCAAAACTTTGTTTGAAAGGAGACAGCTACCGGGATATTTGCTAGGCGATGCTGGATATCTATTTCTGCCTTAATGTCTGCCATATCTTTTAACCCCATTTCGAGAACCACAGACCCAAGGAGAAATAGCATACAATGAAGCACAAATAAGGTCAAGAAATGTTGTGGAACGCCTATTTGGGGTTTTTAAGCGCATGTTTCCTTGTTTGCGAAAAATACTTGGGAATAAAGTTACTACAAGTTGCTTTATTGTGGTTGCATGTGCCGTCCTTTACAACATTGCGATTACACATCGTGAAATAATTGAGCCAGAAGAACAAGAAAAGATTCATGATCCACCGGAACCTCTATTTTATAACAGAAATGATAACCGTTTGGGTCAGTTAATGAGGGCCACCTTGGTGCTTAATCATTTTGAATAAAAATTAATATTTGCATTTTGTAAAATTTTTGAATCTAATATAGATTTTTTCCGACTTTAGTATTTTCATTTATTTACTTTTGTCCTTTTGGGACGAATAGTCGATTGGTTCTTCTCACAAGTAGGTAATTAAAATACATGGTTATTATTGGTATTAATTTATTCATGTGATAAATAAACTATTGATTTTGTAAATTTCCTAGTTTCATTTCTTCTTGAAGCCGCAATCTGGCAGTTTCTCTTTTGAAGGTGGCTTCTTCTATACTCTAATTTTGTGGAGTTCCTCAATTTGTTCCTCTTCTCTTCTTATCAGTTATTTCTTCTATATAATTTTTTTTTTTATCTGAAGCTGTAGATGTCACTGAAATCAGAGTTTTATATAATATTATACTACCTAGCTAAACCGGCGAACTTCGTACCGCCTATGAATTATTAAGTACCTATTAAATGTTGTGTTAACGTATCTAGTAGATAAATTAAATTCAGTTTTTTTCAATGGTGAATTTGGCCTTGGAAACTAATGTTTACTCTCTGGATCAGAAATCACCTAAAATTAAAATTTTACATCATTTGGCTATTGATTTCAAATGGGGTGCCTCTAGTGGAGTAAAATCACAATTAAATTATGACTTTGAGTGATTCCGAGGTATAACCAGATGAAACCTATATCATCTTGTAGAGAACACTCTGGGGCATAGGAAATGGGAATGTACAACTTTTTCTAGTAGGACTGAACTTTGAAATCGGCCCTTAAACGTGACTGAGCTCGAATTTGAAAAACTACGTTTTTCTAAACATTACCCGCTGTATTAATTTAAGCATACAATCTAAAATTCTGATTTTTTGCACACTTATACTTGAAACATGAGCGCTTCTAATGACAGTTCAGAAATTTCGAAAAGGTTTAAGGTTTTTTTGTTAAAAAGTTAGGAATATAGAATTATCAAAATCGTGCGAGCTATGTGAATTATTGAAAATTTCTATACATATATATCGAATCAAATGTAGTAAAAACATTGACGAAGTTTTTGAAAAAAAAATTAAGTCGCTAACTTTAACGTTTATAGAAATATGAATTTTTATCCGGGAGCTTTGAAATGCGCTCTGATGCTGATAGCGGCTAGCTACCATTCGGGAAATCATCTGCGTTAGTGCGTTAGCGTTACATCTAGAAATAAAATAAAAAATCTATAAGCATAAAGTAATTGATTGAATCCTTTTTTATGAAGTTAGTTTAAATCGAGGTTTAAATATTTTCTCCTTCGTCATCCTTATATAAATCAGGAACATTATTTTGACAACTGTTGCAGGAACAATCGCTGCAGCATGTTAAACCCTCTTTCAAGCAGACACATTTATTATTTTGACATAACTTATCTTCGCAGAAGACTTTCATTAGTTGCCTCATATCCATTGGTATGGGATCAGCAGTCATCAAAACAGGCTCAAAAATTCCATTATTCCTAGTCCAACCAAAGTTAACAGGGACAAGTATAGGCATAATAGGTATATGACTGGATATCCATATACGCAGTTGATATATGCACCTGAAATTTTGTTTATTGCATAAATACAGCTTCTTTTGTTATATACCTATACACCTAGTACATGCTGGTAAAATGCATCATCTGTGGGTAGAAGTTCAGAAGCGGATTTATTGGAAGTTGTGGTCAATAATTGATATCTCAATTCATCGAGGGTTTTTAGGGCCTCGTTCTTATTTCTGAATAGGGCCAATGCAAATTTGGTGGCAATATATATATATATAATTTGTGGTATCGCATCCTATTGACACATGCAACGCTGGTAAACATTTATAAACTTCATTTTCCAGTTTCTGCACTATTTATTGGAATGATCCGTTTTTTATTCCCTTGTCCTAATTCCATAAAAAGGTAGGTTTCTTTCAAAGAACTTACTTCAATAAATTCAGAATAGTGGTAAATGAGTAATACCAGAACATTTGCATCTGCAGACTTCAGACTTCACCAACCCCTTTTTTTGTTGAAGTATCTGATATTCATCATATAAGTCGTGCATCAGTCTCATCATGAT